CTCTCTCTCTCTCTCTCTCTCTCTCTCTCTCTCTCTCTCTCTCTCACACACACACACACACACACACACGTACGTACACGATTTCTTCATTCCGTCTGCATTTTTCCATCGCCATTTCATCTTCTTAAGGGCGTCTGCGGATTTTCAAACGGCAAAGGACCTTCTACCATGGGCGACAGTACGACATCGCCTTCTTCATCGTCGACGGCGGATTCGTATCTGGGGAGCTTCATAAGCGTGACATCGAAGTACGAGATTCGCTATGAGGGTTTTCTTTACCACCTCAATCCCCAAGACTCCACTCTCGGCCTCAGAGACGGTAAATCACGGCGTTAATTTTAGTTTTTGCCTGGTTTCGTGTTCGCTTTCTTTTTTTCGTCTCTTTCTTTTTTCTGGCTATGACATTTTTCTGCACAATGTGTTTCCTGTACTCGTTTTTTTGCATGCTTATGTTGTGCTTAAGCAAGAATTTATGCGGGTTGTTTCTGAGTTTCGATTTCTTGGTGACATTTTCTCTTTTTTCATGTATGGACCATTGCTACAGCGATTTTGTGGTTGTCAAAAACGCATTTCATGATGTTGTGTATTCGAATGATTCGTTTTTCTATTGGGCAGTGTACTGTTATGTATTAGTTGCTGAGGGACCAACAAGTTCAAGAAATGTTTTCATTGACCTAAACTATTGTATCCATTAAGCGTTTCATTTTATGTATGCAACTCTCTTTCAGTTTGTTGCGTGTTATTGTGTTGTTTATTTTCTATGAACTTCATTCTGGATGCGCGGGTAGATCTTTAGACTACAGTTTTAGGCTCCAGGGAGTGACAACTGTTCTGGGAGTAAAGATTTTTGGATTGTTACTGTTGATGCCAGATGAATTGAACAACATAACTTTATCAGGATGTTTTGATTTATTATTATGTGATTTGTGATCGACTTCTATAAGTGGAACTGTAAGTTTCTATTACCAACTTGTAATCCTATACCACTTACCATATTTGCCTGAATATCATCTCAATTCTTTTTCACTTGCAATATCTCTCATAATTTTCTTGATTGGATTCCATCAAATTATTTCTTGCAGTGAAGTCATATGGAACAGAGGGGAGAAACAAAAATGGGCAACAAGTTGCCCCAAGCGACAAAGTTTACGAATATATTCTGTTTCGTGGCAGTGACATCAAAGTAAGTGTATTTGACACGTGAATTGATTTTAATAGCATTGTATGTAACTTACGCAATGTCTGCCATTTCCTTTTACTACTTATGAATAAGCTTTTGTCTTGCTTATTCGTACATGCTTTAGTCTATAGCTCAACATCCTGAGTCTGCATGGTAGCAACCACATTTACCCCGACCTTTTGTTCTGTGATGTTTCTCCCTATCCTATTCGTTTGACCTGAATGATGACCCAGTTTTTCTTCATTGATCTACTTTTTTCATTTATATCATTTGGGGGTATTTTAATACTGTGGAAAAGTGCCTTCATCAGATCTTTTTGTGTGTTTCCCGGTTTCGTAAACGGGCCCCATAAAAATAGAGGCCATTTTTCTCTTTATGCAAAAGACCTCATTCACAGCTTTGTAAGGTAACAAGAAATTGGTAGAACATGACTCCAAAGTTCTTCTAGCAGCCACGTCAAAAAGCGTGAGGTGGCCCAATATCACCATCAATCCATATGTATGAAAACTTTTTTCTGCAATTTTTTCAAGTTTCCGTTTGCTTCGATCAATCTATCTATGTATTATACTTTAGGATAACTGTGTGCACGAATTTGTATGGGATACTGAAAAATGTTGAAAGGTGCCAAAAGATTAATTATACAACTGAAATGGAGTTTTACAAACTAGTTAAACCTAACATAGCCATGATGGAATCTGTTTGGGGATGGTGGTCCCGTGGCTCGACGAGAGAGGACAAGAGTTTAAAGTTCAGACCAAAATAGCAGTAGAATAGTCAGATTCTAAGTTCGCTTTATTTGTCAAAACTTGCAAATGAACAATAACTCTGAAACGGGATTAGGGTTATGGTTGTATTAATTTCATCGAACAGTACTATTTTTTTCCCCCATACTGTACAGCATAGAAACCTCCCTGCAAACTCACATCATTTTTCCCGAATGATCCATTACTTCATTATAACTGCATTGCATTCAGCTACTTCCCCGAAGTTCTCCTTAACATTATTATTTATGTGGCTATTTGATCTCTCAAACTGTCAAACATCACTATTCATGTAGATGCAGTTAAATGGGTTTTCAATGTGCTGAAATTTTGGCATTTGCATTGAGCAGTCTAGTCACTGCATCAGCAGTCCTCTGATACTAGAGAACTAAAGAGTGAAAATGTTATCTGTTCTCTTGGTTATTTTAGTGCTACCTTACCTTGATCTGGAGAATATATTTGGCTGCTAGTATTATTTCCCCACAGTCCTCTTTTGTAAGTGTTCCGATGAGGTTTCATATTTATTTTTCACTATCAGCATATAGTCTAACTATTGTAGCAGTTGATATTTCCTGATGGAAACTTTCTCGTTGTAGCATTCTGTCTAAGTTTTCTTTGCCAAGATAATTTTGCATGGAGTATTTAAATGTGACATTGTTTATCTTTTCTTTGCAAGCTGTATATATACCTATTCTAAAACCTATGAATTGTTTTATGGGTACATCACGTCTGATGTCTGATGGGATATGAATACTCTAAATGTTAACAATAGCAATATCTCGAACGATATTAAGAACCTTGAATGATTTTTGCTCTGCTCCATATTCGTCATTTTCAGGACTTACGCGTTATAACCGCTGCACCAGTTCAAACTGAGGAGCCAATATACAATGATCCTGCAATTATTCAGGTGTTGCTGCATGTTTCACAAGTCTGTTTTTATCAATGTTTTCTTGAAATAAGTTGGGCAACCATCCATGCATAACATATTTTTTTCTGTGTTTGTAGTCAAACTCTAACATGAGACCTCTGAGTTCATCAAAAACCGTGTCGGCTACCGTTGGATCTTTGCCAGAGTATAACATGTATGCTGAACCCCCTGCACCGAATGCAAAAGGCTACCAGAACATATTACCTTCATATCCTTCTGAAACTCTGTCCGGGTTATGGGGAACTTCTCACACGACCCACAATACTGCATCAACTTATGGAATGCAAACACAATGGCAGGGATATGGTGCATCGAATATTCCCTACGATAAATCTCCTGTCCGTTCAAGTGCGACTTCAAGTTCTATATATTTGACTACTACACCAACCCTTTCTTCTGAACAACTATCCACACCCTATGCTGATCCAGTTCCTTCAAAGCCATCTTTACCAGTTCATCAGTCTACATTGATAAGCTCCAATGGACTCACCATGCCTTCCTTGTTAACCTACCAGAACACTACTAGCATTGAGCCTCGAGTTGTTAATAAAGTAGCTCTTCACCCTGCATCTTTGCTTCCTATTCAGTCCTTTCCAAATTCTGTGACATCTTCCTCTGTCCCAATAGTGGACCCCCAACAAGTTTTTCTGACTCCAAATCTATCACAACCGAAATTGACAGAGCATTCACTGGCAAAAACACTGCATCCTGATCAGAAGGATATCGGCATTATGAGTTCAGCTAATCTGAGTTACTCATCCCCGGCCGCTACTGCTGTTCAACCGCCTCTTTTGCCACTGCCCCCGCCTTGGCAGAAGGTAAACCTCACTGTTTATTGTGTTGCTTTCAGTAATTATGCTTATTTTTCTTGCTATAGGTATGTGCTTGTAATGAAATGTGCAGTGTGCTTTGTCATTGTTTTCATATTGATTTGTAATCTGCCATGACTCAAAGGGTTTAAGGGTACGTGGGATATATTTGTTTATCTATTTTTTTCTTTCAGAAAATTTGGATACCTTGTCCGATGCCTCTTCTCCTTGTGGACGAATGTGTTAATAATGGAAATATCTTGTGTTGAAAAGAAACATTGATTTTCTCTATTACCACTATAGATTTGTGTAGTTTCACTGGTGTGAACTGTGAACGATCATAATTGGAACTGGTGTATTTTTACTTAAAATAACTTGTAACTGCTTCAACGCCGAGATCCTTAAAAATGAACTTCATAGCTTAACCAAAGACAGTACACTTACCTTTTTCTTAGTATCCATGAAAAATATTAACTGGACCTGCAAATGCAAATATCTGGAGTCCTTTCTTTCGAAATACACGTGTTGGCCATCCCATATTACTTGTTTTTGGATTTAAATCCTCTTGTTTGAGCTCATTAATATACTGGGGAAAATTTCGTGGTCATCTTACCTAGACAACTTATCTAGGTATTTCTGAAAATCATGAAAATTCTATCCAGTTACTAATTTTCCTTTTTTGAAAAAATGCAGTTGCATTCACCGCAGTTCACTGAGGAATTTGATTTTCAAGCCATGAACGAGAAATTTAACAAAGATGAGGTTTGGGGGTACCTCGGAAAAGCCAACCAGAGAGAAAAAGTAGAGGGAATGCAGGAAAAAGGAATGAGCACTCTGGAGCCTGGTGATGACAGCCCTAAACTGATGTCCAAGATTGATGCCAAGGTAGCTTCTAAAGATTATATGCACAATTAAATTTTTTAACTGTTAATCGATGATTTTTCTTTATAATATTTTAGACTGTAAATTATTGTTATTATTATTACTATTTGCATCAAGAACAATATGTTTTTTCTATATGCAGCCTGCATACAACAAAGACGACTTCTTTGATTCCATTTCGTGCAATTCTGTCGGTCGTGGAACAAGGAATGGGCATAATTGGTTTCCGGAGAGGATGAAATTAGACTCTCAGGTATGCCTCGCATGATACGAAGAATCCATCTTTTTACAAATTTGACCCCACCCCCCTTTTTAAAATGTCTTTAATATTTCCTTATTTTTCATTCCAGACGTTGGGCAGTTTTCAACAGAGGACGCAGTTCGGGTATGGTGGGCATAGAGAAAGTGGAGTTGGTGAGCACCACGGCTCGTACAACAATCGGCAGAGGGGTCACAATTATGGTCATAGAGGCCATGAGGGTGGTAGGGGTCATATGGAGAGATGACATTTTCATGATTCCTACACACAATGGCTGATGCTAAAAGTCTTGCGAAAATTTTCAATGAGCTGATTTCTGAACTCAGAACTCGAGCTAACGATAATGGTTTGGTTTATTAGATCTTTTTGTCACGCATAGCAGATTAGTGATGGCAGGGTGGCATATATTTTTGGAGCATTGACCTGCCTCTGATTGTTGTAGACTTGTAGTATTATCCCTTACAAAATCTTAATGGTCCATGGGGCAAGTAGTTAAAGTACACTAGTTGTGTTCTTCAGTTATCGGTATTGTACTCTCTCTTCTCTATTAGCCTTCAGGGGTTTGAGCAAAATATACAACATACACAACAGACATTCCTTGCCAAACCTGAATTGCTCATTTTTGTAACTTCATTTTGTCAACTCAATTTCAATTTAGGGTGAGAAAGCATTCGCACACGATGCGTGAAGTAATTATTGGACGAACATAGTAAAACGCTAACATCTAATGAAAATTTTGACTCCATCAATTAACTGAACAATCAAATACAAAAGTAACAAAGAAGAGTAGCTAACTCTAGGATAACTTTCTATAGAAGGTACATACAGAGACTATTTACATATCTGATTTTTTATTATTCATTTAGCTTCGATAGCAGGAAAAGGCAACCGGACGAGAGGAGGACGGATGCAGAGAAGCAAAGAAGATCAAAAGGAAATTGTATGATTGTTTTTTTGCTCTTGTCAAACAATCCAATAAGCAGAAGCATCACTATAACATGACCGAGTTTTGTTTTCAGCTCGTTCACGGTTTTTATTTCCAGCCATCGAGGTCGTTCCTGCGTAATTTTATTAAGAAGGTAGAAAATCAAACTAGCCGGGAAAGAGAAAAAAAAAAAAAAAGATTGACATTTCTTGTCAGCTAAATGTGGATTTTGCAGATTGCTATCATTGCTTACAAAATTTTCAGTTTTCTGTCACTTGTTATATAGTAAATATGAAACTTATAAAGATTTAACATAAAGTTTTTTGGTCATATGTCAAATAACATAAGCAAGAAGATGAAATCCGTGTGTAATTGATTACATAAGGAAAAAGTTCAATTGCTAAGATTTTTGGTCATATGTCAAATACATAAAGCAAGGAGATGAAATATGACGGAAGTACCAGAGATACTCTGACATACCTTGAGAGTGAACAAACCGAACAAATTTGATCTGTACGTAAGTCTTCCATCCGACATGGATTTCGATTTATCGAGATTACTGATAAACAGCTCATAAAGGCCCATGCCAAAGACCAGCATCACAGTTCCAAGTAAGTAGACATCTAAGAGCAGATTAAAAAAAAANNAAAAAAAAAGGAAAAAAAAAATATCAGCTGAAAATATCATGACTGCAAATGAAATTCTTAGCATGGCAATGACATGCATACCAGTGGCCTCAACAAGTGATGCAATCGTTTTCCCTCGGTCCACAAAATAACCTTGAAATGACGATACAACATATACGCAACCCTATACATGACAAGATTAATTATCATCATCTTCATTATTTTTCAGTGAAAAAAGGAATGAAGGAAATACAAACACACACACAAACACACACACACACACACATAAAATTGCATCTTTCACCAAGGCAAATTTTTTAACCAGTCCAATTACGAGCTCTTTCTTAGTCATTTTAGATAGAAAAACAGACACGAGACAAATTCTGCAAACTGGCATGTGAATTATTGCATTTCACTTGTCCAGGCAACTGGCTTAGTATCAGCTCAAGCTACTCATTTTATCATCTCACATTTACATGCTAATCTATGTTTACAAGTTCTTGCTTATCATGATATCATCAGATGAGGTTGTTCAGAGGGCTACTGAAGCCCGAATTCTTATCTCCACCCAGCTCCCATATTCTAGAATATCATGGTATTGAAAGTGATCACCTATTTAGCCCTTCCGATTCCCCACAATTTCATAATTGTCTGTACGAGCAATCAACTTAACTCGAAATGATCTACAGAAATTTCCGAAAGCTATCACTCTGCAACTTATAATCCAATCAACATGCACAAACAGACTTATTATTCATAATGTGAGATTGTTTATTAATTCAAACACATCACTCTTAAACATAAATTTAATACCTTGCTTCAAGTTACTTCATCTTTTTCGAATCAAAATGTGACACTCTCACATAATAAATCAAAACAGGGTCTAAATAATGTTTCTTGAGAATAACAAAAAAGAAGTGCCTTACCTTAACGAAACAAAGAAACGACCCAACCAGTGATCCCCAAACCGCAAGAATGGCGAAAAAACGACACCCGTAGATTAACTGCGAGCAAAAACAACACAATAATTTTATCCAGACATAATCTCCTGAAACAAAGCACAAAAAGATAGAGCTTCAAAGCATTTCTAATTAATTATTTACATTTTTGTTAAAAGAAATCACCTTTTCAATATAAACTTCGACCATCTCCACCTTCGATTCCGTAGGTTCATGAGAGAGACCCACAGAATTAACGTCTGACGCCACAGCAGTCACCGAGGCAGGGTTTGCCGGAAGATGGTCGCCTCCCGATGCTGTTGGCCGGAAATTAAGAAATTTGGGACGAAATTGAACGGCCCACCTGAAATTTGGCCCCAATTTTCTAGCTTTGAGGAAAAACGGCGCCGTCGGTGCTCTTGATAGGGCTTTGGTGGTGTTCATGGTAACTGGCAGTTTTTGGAGGTTCCTTACATGGAAGCTACACGGGTTTGGCGAGGAGCTTTTACAGGCTAGAGCAGAAAACGACAGCAATGGGGGCAAGATGTTATTCAGAGTCTTGGTGATCCAAAGAACAAGATTGCATCTTCTTCCCCAGAATGCCACAACGGTGGAGGCCGAACCACGTCATTTGAAAACTTTGCTGTGTTGCAAAAATAAAAAGTTATAATAATGTCACTATCTCATATTTTAAGTTCACTAGTCCATCATATGAATGTACACAAATACAAATAAAATATTATAAATTATATGTATAAATATTATATTTAAAATTATATAAATTACATAATGAATATATCACATTTTGTAATATAAATTACAGATTATCTTGACTATTTAGTTTAATTTGATTAACCGATCAAATAAACCGGTTATTTTATTGTTAGTTCGGTTGAGACAAATCAATACAACACAACTGCACTTATATTGCACATTATTGTTTGTCGAATTGCACTCTAGTGATTGTCACGTTACACTATAGCGACCGAAGCCGACCGAACTTAGTTTTTGGGTACGAATTTTATATTTGGCGATTATATGTTTTTACTTTTATATTTTTTGGTTATTTTTTGTTCGATGTCGGATTGATTTATTTAAAAATAACCAAACGATCGAACTATATAAAAAAATATGATTTGGTTATCTAAATATTTTAGACCTTTACAACCAAAAATAACATACAATATTAAATAAAACATTATAATATTAAATTGTAATACGAAGGGCTTTGCTTTATTTTCTCGTCAGTGTGTCAGGGAATGTCAGAAATCGTTATCGCCCTGGACCACTTTTTCTGCTAATCGAACCGTACAATTAAGCTAGCAGAGAAAAAAGCTCCATGCAAAGATGCTCAATTTATTGAAAAAATCTCTTGGTTTTGTCTACTACGTAGAGCACCGCGTGTCCTCCTTTCACGTGCTGGAGATTCTCTTGTATATTCCGATGTCGACCAAATTTGTAGCGAATGCTGAGCTGTCCCTGAGGTATGAGGTGGTCGAGTCCACGACCACGCCCGTCTGACCATCTTTCCTCGACCAACTCCTCAAGCAGCCGGTGCTTGTCTGGTACTACTGAATCCGCTCTTCTTCGTCGTCTACCTTATTTCTTTCATTGCGGATGTTCGGTTCGGTTCGACCAGGCCGTTGATCTATTTTATTCGGCTAACCCGACTAACTGGTCCAGTATGTAATATCCCATATCATCTAGTCCCCCCCACTCTGGTCGAGTCTGAATGACTCGATCTAAGAGTAGGATTTATCTGTGCCACCGAGGTTCCACTTTACCCGCTTCGACCACCTAGCACGTTTCTTACCTTTGCTCGACCACTTTTCCCCGTAACTGCCATTTTGAATTTCGCCACTTCTCCGCCTTTCAGACGCGTCCTTTCGTCTGTCAGGCGTCATCATTGCCTCGTGACCCGCACTTCTTCGTACTTTGTGCCGCCTTAAAACCCTTCTCCCATTACGACCTTTTGATTAACAACTTTAATCGTACGGTTGATATTCTTCCGCCTATTCGCTTGTCTTCCCATCGCATCCCTTGATATTTTTCAATCCAACAGTGGATAATTCCTTGTGCTCATTCTTCTTTCCTATAAATATCGACACTTAACAAATTTTTTTCTTTCTTCGCTTTCCCCTTCTACTGCAACACAAAGCTTCTTCGCACTCTTCGAGCATCTGGCTGTCCCTGACTTCTTCGTCTTCTCAGCAAGTACTACATCATTCGTCATGAGTAAGTCCTCCCAACCTTTATTTGGAGTATTTTTATTGAGTTTTTCGAATTTCATCCCTTTCTTCTTCTCGCTTCTCTTCGCATCTTGTGCATCCGATTTCCGTCCTTCCGCTATGCCGTCCTCCGCCTTTCTTCCTCTTTGTTTTCTTTGTTTTGATTTGGTTTTTTCCTCTTTCTTCTTCCAATTATGCCACTTCGAGCGAAAATGATCGGTACAGCGGGAAGGACATGACCCCTCCTTCCTCTTTTGCGACTCCCAGTTTTTCGAGCGATTCCGTTCAAGAGATTTTCCAACCCGAGCCTATTTCTATCATTCGACCTATCGTTATCAGCGATAGCCCCACGGCCACTGCTATCTCCCCCTCCTCCTACTTAGTCGATCAACCAAAAGAGGAGGTCACCAGCCGTCCTCCTTCTCTACTTTCTGAGCGTGCTCATCGAATAATCGGTCAAGACGACGAGGACGAGGATGATCCCGAAGATACCATCCCCTTGTCTGCTCGTGTGCCCCCTCCTTCGACCACCTCTGCTCCACCCAAAAATCCAAGTCACCACATCAACTCTGCACTAACCGCCTCGACTTCGACCTAATTGGTCATCCTGAGGCCGCTTATACTTCTGGTGATGACGATACCTATGACAACCCTCCATCCAACGCTTACACCTTCTTCCGCGCTCATTTCGACCTAGGCTTGCGCTTCCCCATTTGCCAGTCCCTAATCGTTCCGTGTGGTCTTTATGGCCTTGCCTTAATCAACTCCCTCCTAATGCCTTTCAAATTTTGACAACCATCATTGTTCTCTCCATCGTTCGTATGGGTCGGGTGGACTTAGATTTTTTCGTCTATTGCTACCTGACCTCCAAACAATCTGACTGCCTGTATTTGAAGAGTCGAAACAACGCCCACTTCATCCTCGATCGACCATCTAACGTCCCCAAATGGAAAGACCAGTTCGTTTACATCATTCCCAAACATCCTTATCTATGGGTTCCCACTCCGTGGCTTAAAGAGGTGCCCATCAAGCGTGGCACTCCCCCTTCAAACCCCATTTTCGACCGCCGTATTCTTGTGTGGAACTCGAACCCTGTCGTCTCCTCTTCTCTGCTTAAGGACGATAACCTTCTCCACTACTGTGGGATTCTCACCCATAAATCCCTTTCTCCTCCTCTTGTTGAGACCCTCTTTGGCATACGCGTCGTCGCGGAACTCAATGTGAAGGCTCGAGCAGGTGCTCGAGTCGATACTGTTGTCTACTTGTATTTGTTACGCCTGGCATTGTTGACTAAACTTTATTAACCTGTGTTTTATTTGTGCAGAGGGATTCTTGCCCAAACCCAATTTTAGAAAATCCGCGGAGAAGGGGTCTACCGGTAGGGACTCTTCGGGTCCCGTGGAAAAGGGAAAGCCTTCTTCCTCGACCAAGGACGCATCTTCTCGCACTGAGAAATCTGGGGCCTCTTCTGGTTCAAACAAGCACAAGACCCCTCTTCCTCCTCCCAAGCATTCCGACCGTTTTGCCAACCCGTCGACCAAAGACGCAGACATGGTGTAAAAATGACTCGCTCGGAGGTGTCCATCCCTTCTCCCTCCAATCAAAAAGTCGACCATCCTGACTCTCCTCATAAGCGACTCAATTTGGGGTCACAGGCTGCCGGGACCCAATTGGTGCAACAATCTTCTCGTCCTCCTTTTCCTTCCTTAGTAGGGGCTGGTCCTCGGGAGGCCATCTATCGTCTGATCAGCCTCTTGTCGTTTGAGGATACACACCGTTGGTCGGTCGACCGCCGGGCTCAGGGAGAGTACGCTGCTTGCGCCCTGATCCAGGTATGTCTGTGGCCACTTTTCTCATCTTTGATCCACAATTTCTTCTAGTCTTGTTTGTGTTTTTACCTATGTTTCTTGTGCAGACTGTGGTCTTTGTTGCTCCTCTGCTCGAGGAGACTTTGAACAGTTCTAGTCGGCCCCTCCCCGTGATCGAGGGCGATAACAGGTGGCTCGACACGGCGTATGAGCGACTCAAGGCTGAAAATCAGGAATTGCTCAAGTCTCAGCATGAGCTGGCTGAGCAGGTGAAGAAGGACGCAGAGGAGGTGCGTCGCCTCAAGGACGAGCTGAAAAAGAAAGATAAATTCCTCGAGGCGGAAAGGTCGAACAAGAAGAAGGAGGTCGAGGCTGTTGTTGTGGCTGCGGTAAAGCAACCAGCGAGCCTTGTGGGGATCCCAGCTAGGTCAGGGCTTCCTCAGGGCATACCGAGAGCAGGTGATCGACGACTATCTCCGCTCAAGCGCCTTTCTCAAAAGAGGCCTCATCGATGGAGATGGACTTCTATACTTACAGTATGGAAGAGGTTGAGCGGCAGTTGCTGAGCAGGGCTTTAGGGGTGAGCTTAACCATGACAGGACATGGGACGCCATCCCATCTGCGCCGTCGACCTTCTTGGGCGATCCCAGCCTCCCTGCCGAGCACCCCTGGTGGTCGGAATCATTGGAGCGGGCCTTAGTGAGGGACAAAAAAACTTGCGATATTATTTCGACCTCCCTAAGTCCGGCGAAACTCCAATGGTCCGTCTCCCCAGCAACCTTCCTCCTCAACCCTTGACTACGAGTGCTCCGTCCTCCTCCTCTGGTCCCTTGGCTTCGACGGTTGCTCACTCATTTGGCTCTGTTGTCTCCTCGTCCATTATCAATGCTCAGTCCACCGTCACTGCGGCTCTTCCGTCGACCACGGTAGCCCAGTCGACTGCCACTGCTGCCATGGTTTCGTCGACTGCAGCCACGCAATCAACCTCTGCTGATGCTGGCTCGTCAGCCACAGCTGTGCAGTCGACCTCCACTGCTACCTCGTCGTCGACCGTCGCTACATAGTCGACCTCTACTGCAGCTTTCCCATCGACTGCCGCCGAGTAATCGACCGCTGCTGCCCAATCCACCATCGCCCCTCTAAGTAGTTTTTAAGTGTTAATGATTTATTTTGTATTTTATCTCCATGTATTTTGTCCTTTTGTCCTTTTGTACTTTTGGTTTCGAAAAAACTTTAAAATTCGTGAGCCTTCTTTTCCTTGTGGTTTGAGCAACTGAAATACACTTAAGTGAACTTGAACCGTATACACCCAATGTGCTCGACTCTCCTCTTGAATTAAAAATAGACTGGTGAACAGTGTAATTTTCCATGAGATCTTTCCCTACTCTCCATTAAACATTACTGATAA